AGTCCTTCCAGAAAGAACATATGCTAAAATTCAGAAATGGCTTCTGAACAGAAATCAAATCCAGGGCAGTGTCAAGAAGTAAAGATGGCCATGGCTATACACCCTTTAAGGTCTTAGAAAGATTTAAATTAGTACCTCAAGAGCCTTTCAAACAAGCAACTGGACTTCTAAGAAACTTAAGGGTGTGGTCCACTGCCTCTCAAGAACTCATGTAGAACAGGACCTTAGTTCCCAAACTGTGCCCTAAGGCTTCCTGGAGCACAACAGGGAATACAGTGGGGCCTTGACTTATGAGTTATTTCCTTCCAAGACCGAGCTCGTTAACTCAAATTACTCTAACAACTCAATGCAAAAAATTGGAGGAGAGACAGCTGGTATCTCAAAAAACTTGTTAGTCGGTACACTCGTAAGTCAAGGCCCCACTGTACTGTGTCTGTCACTGATCTCATAAATAGTAACTCAAGATAATACACGCTTTTAACATTACACTACGGCATTCATTCTGGCAATTGCTGTGATAAAAGGCAAGTGCTCTTAAAAAATTAATGCAGCACAGGAAATGAGAGTGGTGGTATCCAATTTTTTTATTTTTAATTTTTATTTATTTTAGAGAGAGAGGAAGGGGGTGACAGAGAAAAATCAATTTGTTATTCCATTTATTTATGCCAGCGGTTCTAAACCTCTGGGTCGTGACCCCTTTGGGGGTTGAATGACCCTTTCACAGGGGTCGCCTAAAACCATCGGAAAACACATATATAACTACATATTGTTTTTGTGATTAATCACTATGCTTTAATTATGTTCAATTTGTAACAATGAAAATACATCCTGCATATCAGATATTTACATTACGATTCATAACAGTGCAAAATTACAGTTATGAAGTAGCAACAAAATAATTTTATGGTTAGGGGTCACCACAACATGAGGAGCTGTATTAAAGGGTTGCAACATTAGGAAGGTTGAGAACCACTCATTTATGTGCTCATTGCTTGACTTTTGTATGTGCCCTGGCAGGGATCAGCCCACAACCTTGGTGTATCGGGATGATGCTCTAACCAACTGAACTACCCAGCCAGGCCAATCTGATTCCAAGGCTAGGTCATAAAAACAATGCGAATTTCTCCTGTCTCCCTTTCTCTTGGGACACGCCATGGGAAGCCAGTTAGCATGCAGTAATAAAGTCCAAGCCACATAGAGAGGCCACATCTAGGTGTTTCTGCTAACAATCCCAGTCAAGGTCTCAGCTGACAGCTAGTAGCAACTACCAGACCTATGAGTGAGCTACTTTCAGATGATTCCAGCCCCTGGACTTCCAAATCTTCCAACTGAGGCCCTAGACATCATGGAGCAGAGATTCACCCTTTGCTTTGTTCAAACTGCTGACCCACAGAATCTATAAGCATAAAAAATGTTTTTTATACCACTAAATTCTTCAGTAATTATTATACACAGTAATTATGTCAATGGTGGTTCAATATATGAAACAAATAAAGAAACTTTTAAAAGCAGGTCATGGCCCTAGCCAGTTTGGCTCAGTGGAAAGGGTCCCAGGTTCGATTCTGATCAAGGGCACGTACCTAGGTTGCCCGAGCGGGAGGCAACCAACCGATGTTTCTCTCTCACATCAATGTTTCTCTCTCCTCCATCCCCCCTCCTCCTCTTTTCCACTCTCTCTAAAAATCAATGAAAAAGTATCCTCAGGTGAAGATTAACATAAAAATGAATAAATAAAAATAGGCCATGCATGAAGCAATGATGACAGTGCATCACAAACTAAAGATGATAACTAATCCAATTCTGTGCATCTGGAATCCCTTAAGAAAAAGTGGGGAGAGAACAGTAGAAATAATTAAAAAACGACAGAGGGAAGGCAGGGGAGGGTATGAGATCAACCAAAGGACTTGTATGCATGCACATAAGCACAACCAATGGATGCAAGACATTGGGGGTGGGGGGGTGAGGGCATGTACGGGGGAGAAGGGTAAGTAGGGAAGGCCAGGGGGAGGTCAATGGGGAAAAAAAAGAGACATATGTACTATTTGTAAAACTTTAAGCAATAAAACAAAACAGATTTTTAAAAATTCAAAACAAATGTACCTCATTCACCAATCTGTTGATGTAAGACTAAGCTTCTTTGAAAAAAGGACCACTGATAGCAATTCCAAGATATATCATTTATATCTACACCACACACTATTCTCCACTATTCCCAATTTTGATTTCTTTAAGTAGAAACATGGAGCAAGAAGTTAAAAATGCTTACAAAGCAATCTGAGTGTAGAATTTTCCTAAATGTTTATGCTTCTCTTATTCATATCTAATTGGAAAGCAATTTCAAAAATTACCTTTACTGAATCTTTACATAGCATTCAACTCATTTTAACCATTTCTATAATAGTTAATTAAATTGTATAACTATAAAAAAAAGCACAATGGGTCATAAACAGGTCGGGAGCTAATAAACAACTCACTCTAGGTAAGTATTTATATATATATTTGTGTGTGCATTACCTATTTTATATACATATATATATGTATATATGTATGTGTGTGTGTGTATATATTTTGTTTCTAAAAGGAGGAGGATGAGGGACCTGTTAGGTCTGATCAAATCATTGAATCGATACCCCCTCTCCTGGGAACTGACCTTTAGAGCACTTCACAACAGACATTCCCATTTGCTTAGACCACAGTCCACTGGCTAAGACCACATTCCACTTGCTAAGAACATTATCTTTCCCCTCCAGACCTTCCCAGGACCAGCCCAGAGAATTCTCCGCTCAGAAAAAGCCCACCTGGAGTCCTTTAAAATCTCTGACTCCCCACTCCTGGATGCTAGCACCATTTGGGGGCTCAGCCCATCTGTTCTCCAGATGACCTAATGAATTTATAATGCCTTACCACTTTTGGCCTCATGTATTCCTTCAGAACCTATTATGGTCACTCACTGAATTAGCTTACTCTCTATCACACAATTACGCTTTACAGAGATATTTTTGATACAATGTGATATAATGTAGAAAATAAGAGATTCCATAAAAGTTCTGAAAATAATAAAAAATTAAATCATTCTGTAAAATAGGAATCTACCTTACCTGTTTATTCTGCTAAGAGAAATCAGTGATGGGGATCTTAAAGTCACATATCTTATTATGTAAATCAATGATGTCATTCATGTAAGACATTATCACTACAATAAAATACTGCCATTTAAAGTACATCGCAGCCGAAACCGGTTTGGCTCAGTGGAGAGAGCGTCGGCCTGTGGACTGAAAGGTCCCAGGTTCGATTCCGGTCAAGGGAATGTGCCTGGATTGCAGGCACATCCCCAGTGGGGGATGTGCAGGAGGCGGCTGGTCGATGTTTCTCTCTCATCGATGTTTCTGACTATCTCTCTCCCTTCCTCTCTGTAAAAAATCAATAAAACATATTCTAAATAAATAAATAAAATAAAGTACATCACAAATGCTAAAATATCACTGCACTTATAATTAGTGAAATATATTACTCTTGATAAGCATAAGTAATTGCAATATTTTGAAGACACCAAATAAGCTCAGAGCACTGAAAATTACTAGTCAAAAGAAGTCATATAAAAGTTATAAAAAAACATACTAAAATTCCATGCTAGGTGGAATTTTTAAAATGGAAATTTCATATAAACAAGCCCTTCAGAGACAAGAAGCTACTTTTAAATAAGGACATAAATGATTTGTTAATTAACAACTTAAAGAGACAATTATATTGCAGTTAATACAGAGACATATGTAAGAAAGTGTGGGAAATTCTCAATTAGATTACCTCCCCTTTCCTCTGTCTAGATTGTATACAGATATTCCCTTCTTATTTAAATATAGAATAATAACAGCATTTCTCAAGTAATTATTAGAGTCTCTGTTTACAACTGATATTTGGCCTCCATTAATTCACTGATCCCATCTACTCTAATTTAATATTTGTAAAGTTTTTAAATGTAAAAATTCTGCCTGGATGTGAAGAGGTATAATTCAAGTCTGGATCAGAATTATTGCTGACTACCTTCCACTAATCCGTCCACTCACCCTCACCTGCACTGTCAAAAGTCTCTAAGAGTTTTGACAAGTTTGCTGCAAGTGTGTCTAGACTTTGGAAAATTCATCAGAAGAACAAGGGACAAAATCCACATAGATAAAACAGATTACTGAAGTGATTAAATGATGTAAAGTTTGTAAATTGTATATAATCTATAATAACAACAGTGTAATATGCTAATTAGACCAGATATCCTCCCGGATGTCCTTCTGGACAACCTTTCGGACGAAGCCAGGGCTGCAAGAGAAGCCTGGATCCCGGGTGCCTGCCAGCGGCGGGAGGGAAGCCGGTGCCAGCAGCCAGGGAAGAAAGGCCTACTCTTGCACAAATTTCGTGTTTTGGGCCTGTAGTTATATATAATAAAGATAGTTTTGTTTTAAAAAGCTTCACTTTACAAAAGGCTTCAGCATAGATGTCACACACCCAGCTTCTAAATGCACTTAGGATGATCTGTGTGCAGATATTTAGTTTGCAGTTTTTCTAAAACAGTTTGCATGTCTCTATTTCATAGATAAAAGAGTCTTTTACATAAATGCAAATCTATGAATACATTTTGTTCCTTGAAACACTGGTAACAGTAAATCAGTAAGCATTACCTATTCCTTTTAGATGCTGTTCTAAATCCTGGAAAAAAAACAATGAGGCATACAGGTCCTGCTCTAAAGAGGTATCTGCCCAACAGGGAAGATAAATCAAACAAGTGGAAAATTAAGTTAAAAAACTCTTTTAAAAAATGTTAGTGACAATAGGAAAAAAAGTAGAGAGATGAAAATTTTAACAGACTAACTAGTATTCAGATGATTCTCAATATATAGAGACTCAGAACGGAGAAATGGGATCAGGGACAGGAGGGCTGGGAAAGCTTCACAGAGCCAAGAGTCACTGCTGAGTGTAGAAGGCAGACACAGGTTGACAGTCTAAAAGAGAATGTATTTCAGTCCCAAACAAAAGTATAGAGGAAGAGGTATTTAGGGGAGAGGAAGCACTCTAATTTGAAGATGGACTAAAGATTTCTAAAAATGTTCTTTTCTAGAAGAAAAAAAGTACTGGAGTTTCAGAAATTACTTTCAAAGAACATTCAAACTACAAATCATTTACCTCTTCTTTGGGGCATCTTTTGTAGCTTTTTGAAGTCTTCCAGTTGTAGCTTCCAAACTTTTAAGTGGTCGTCTGTTGGGTGGCTTTGTGGTTTGTACATTTACTGTGCTTATTTCAACTTTCATGTCCTTAAGGATATTTAGCAAGTCTTTTTTCGAATTCTCCTTTACATTGTCTTGGCTCTCTGTCTGTTTGGAAATCT